AGGGGGAGGGGATACTGGGGGAGTGGGCGGGGCCACTGGGGTTACCCCTGTGGTCCCCTCCCCCCTCCTCCAGTCCCCTCAACCCCTTACTTACCGGCACCGGAGCCCTGGTGCTGAAACATGTGGCCTGGCCTCTGTGGAGGACCCAGCCTCTGGTTGCCTCAGGCCACGGTCAGGGACCGTGCCTTGCCCCGCTTATTTAAACATCAATTTTTTTAGACCCCTGGATATCCAAGGGTCTAATATTCTCCCCACGCTGCAAGTTTGCAGCGCAGGGAATTTTTTTTGTTCCCACACATGCCTGCTGCCCCGCCTCAAAGGGGTTTGAGGCGGTGCAAGAGGCACGTGTGCGTTCGTGTGGACACGCCCATAGCGTGCATCCCTATGAGCATGCATGTGTGTTTCCCTAGGGACAAACAGCAGCAGCACATAGTTGTGTGGCTGTTACTTCTCTCTGGGGAACACCCCTGCAAGCATGCTCTGGTGCATGGCAAATTACCCCAGGTGGGGTAGGGAGGCTGAGGCCAGCACTTGGGCTGGCCCCAGAAGTCATACCTGGGATATTCTCAGGGCTGCAGCAGTGGTGATCCGGGCATATGGAGCCTGGCCAGTATCCACAGTGTCACTCTGGCTGGCCAGGCTCCGGTTTCAGGCGGCGCATGCTGCAGCCATGTTCACCACCCTGCTTTTTTTTTTTTAAGCATTTTTTTTAGGTACAAGGATTTCCTGGTATCTAATTTTGGTTCTATGCTGCAAATATGCAGTGCAGAGAACCTTTTTACAGGCACCACATGCATTTTGCAACACCTCAAAAGCCTTTGAGGTGCTGCAAAGCACATGTTCCTGCTCATCTGGATGTACCCATAAAGAATAATTCCAAAAGATCACCAAATTAGCTAAGAAACACTATGTGAAATGCTGTTTCAAAGCTCACTAACAAACACACTTGTGGTATACCTTCTCTTTACCCATTCTTCACTGGTATCATGTTTGTCTTTTTGTCTCAATAGATTTTTTTTTGGTACTTCTCATTCATAAAGTTCCTAAGGAATTTTAGATGTTAAGGCTAATCAGTGTTTTAATAACAGTATTTTCAGTGAGAGAACAGATTTCCATATTTTTTCCACCCATGCAATCTGAACACCCTATGTTGCCTTAGAAAGTAATCAATTAAACTCATTTCTCCTATAAGAAACTCTGATGACTTTAGCTGTATAAGCAAGACATGTAATTAAATATGACCATGGTAACGCTCCCAAGTGGAAGTTTACAAATATGATGATTAAATGACAGCAATGACACTTATACAGTTGCAGTATTTTTACTAATTTAAGAAAGAATTATTAAAGACGAAACCATTTCTGTTTCATTTCCACTTTTATTTGAATACCCGCAAAGATCTTCAGTGTCAACTTTCAACTATAGTCTGAAAGAACAAAAGTTATAAGAGTAATATATAAAATCTTCTAACCATTCGTGCATTTATTGAAGATGTCAGATGAACTAATCCTTATGATTAGAGGAGAGATTACCGCAGGCCAAAAATCAGGTTAGATAATCTAATAGCAATTTATAGTCTTGAACTTCACAGAACTGGCTGTCAGAACTGCTGGGCTCTATATCCAAGTCTTTGGATTGCTAGACAAGTCACTTAAAATCTAGATCCACAAAATGTCTTGGATTTTGAGGGATTTGGATAAGCAAAATAAAAACTAGGATGCTCAAAACCTATGCTCAGCTGTTGCCTAACCCCAGGGCACAAAAAGTCCATCAACATTTCAGTTTCTTACATTAAAGTTCCCCAAGTGCCTGATGTTCCACTTCTGCACATGCCCAGAAATACTGTTTTCTTGCATACATGTCCTCAAATTAAAAAAAAAACAAACAAACAAGTTGTTTCTGGAAGGCAGAATGAAGAAAAAAAGATTTTTCCAGATTAATGGCTAATTGTCTGACAGAATGAGTCCTCTTGGGAACCTAGGGCTTTTTGTGTCCAGGTACACATGCTTTTTTGTGCCCAGACGCTCCAGAGATGTGATGCATTGGATCAGACTCAATTAACCGAGTCTGCTCAGCACGTGAGCTGACGCACACTGTGCTGCTTCACTTGCAGTTGTATAATTGGTGAAATGTATGTCAGCATGGAGAAAATGGCGGCAGCGTGCTTTTGTACTAAAACACGTTCTCTGCATTTTAGTTCAAAAGCGTGCTGCCACCATTTTCTGGGCACTGATTTTCCATTTCACCCCTTATACAACTGCAAGCGATGCAGTGTGGTGCACTTTTCAAGGTGCCTAGCGCTTCAGTGTTTGCATGTGTGAAAATGACCCTAGAATATCCAGGAAGTGTGACACCAGGAAGGAGATTCCTGGTGTCAGCTGGTGGATGACTAGAGAATGATATTTAGAAATTTGCTTGTAGAAATTGGCTTGTAGGTAAAGTAAATATTGCATTAGAACAATGATCCAGGGGAACAGCAAGGGTTACCTGGTTTGTAAGTCTATTTGTGATGAAGATTC